GCATTTGGCTTAATATTAGGGTATAGAAGCAGCAGGCAACGGCCCATTCAATTAAAGCAACAGTTGGTTTTTTTCAGAATTTTCCCAGCCAAAATTGGATTCGAGTGTCAACCGGTAAACTGTCAACCATTTGATGCTAGCGTGTCTTGGACACCCCGCTGTTAGCTGGCTCAACCACATGCGAGGACCGGTCCGGAATGGGACCACATGAGGTTCACATGCAATAGATCCTCAAGATCTTGGTTTACGGGATAGCATTTTCTAGAAGAGTTGTCGATCATTCCTTAGAAAACAATATCATATCTAAGAACAGTGCTTGGCGGCTGCAACGTTACTGTCATGTTAAGGATTTGGTCCAGTTTCACTCGGGATACCTCCCAAAGTTGAACTTGGTTCTGCAAAACTGGCTAACTTGAACTTACTTCATGCACAACTGGTCTTGGCCCTATAAAAGTTGGCAACAGCGCTTGCANTTGTAGAGCAGTTTGAGGAATGCGTTCGAGGAGAAAATATGGCATCTCACCTCGCCTTCCATTTTTTGAGCTTTTTTTACTTCGGTCACTCCCCCGTGCGTCGCCTGGACCTGCATGAAGTGTTTTGATTTTTGAACTGCCCACATTTGAATAGTTTATGTTTGCCGTATTTTTCTCAAGACTGGCATTTATGCAAACTCAAGATGACAGCAATTATTGTTTAACAGGAAAATCAGGTTTGAAGTTGTAAAGAAGGGTAAAACCAGAAGGTGGGAAAAGTTCGTCACCTGGCTTCCAGTGCTCAGCTGTTTCATTTTCGACCAGATTTGAAGGAGTAGCGCTTTAATTTGCGCTAAGGTTATGATCAAGGTTCAAAGCAAAACGATCTAGTCGTAAAGCACCATGCGACAATGGGGATCATTCGATTCGTGTTAATGGCCATTGAAAGCATTTCGCCAAATCAGAACATTCCATTGGTTTGATTCACGAGAACCTCACGGTCCCTCCTCCAACATCTGGTTTTCTGCATAGCCCAGCTTGCCCTGCGAGGATCTCGTCGTGAAACGCTGTTCGCAGGAGATGGGCCACCGTACATTTCTGCCCGTCTCTTGCCACAGCACTTCTCCAATAATCAAGAAAATGTGTAAAAACTCAGGACAACAGAGGAAAACCAGTTCAGTTTTTCTGATAGTGAGCCATTCTGAAGATTACGAAAACTATTCCTTCTAGACTGAAGATTGCCGGAAAGCGGTCTGTCATAGTAACGTTTCAAATATAAGTATCTATCGTGGAACTGAAATGAAACAGTTCTGCCGAAAACGGCAGATAATTTATTAGGGGAGCAGACCCTTTTTGTTTAGCTGAAAAAGCTCTTTTCCCCCTATCGATTTGCCAGCATTTGTGAAGGGGACTGCTTTCTCACTGGTTAATCATATCGTAATCAGATCAAGGGGTATCAGTTCTGCAAATATGGTGGCCATTAGCGAGTTGATTCAGCCTGTCAACTGAACAGTATGTACCTACTGATTTCTGCGACCTTTTACGCTTCTGTCCATTCGTGGAGGGTTCGAGGATGATGTAACCTGCAGGGGAACCTAAGCAAAACTTTGAATTTTGGGTATCAGTTTGCGGTAGGCAACCACGAGGATTATCGAACCGGAATTGCTTCGAGTTTGCCGAAACCGCAACCGATGATGTAGAGATCATTAGAAAGTTCTCGAAGTTTTGCGCGCAAGAACTCGGAAGTTACCGGTTCAAGAGGAGAAACTGCCTTTAGGGAGGACACTATAGGATAGCCTTGGTTTTTCATAAAGAATTACAACCGGTCCGTTTTGGGCTGCAAATGAGGGAGATGTGATCAGAAAAACTTCTAAAAACTGTCGGCAGATAGGAGTTCTGAGGATTCCCATGAAGAGTATGGGTTTTTGAAGGAAAGAGGGCTGCAGTGCAATCATGCGTAGAGTTCTGATTCAAGAGTTCCGAAAAGCGGCAACTTTAAATTTATTTGGAGATGTTTTCATGCTCTCCGCTTTGAGAGAAGTAGTCTATGCGGAACTTTAGGCTTGGTGTTAACCCAAGATAACTTTAGAGAATGCAAACATATTTGCCGAATTTAGGGTCTATGTGGGAGATCTGAAACGCGGCAATGCAAGGGATGAAGAAGGAAATAAAGCAGCTTCTGAAAGACAGGATGGACTGCGGGCTCAATTGGATCCTTTTGGAATGCACACATTCGCTAGGAATGCAAAGAGCGAAGTGGGTCTACCAACTGGTAAAATGTTTGGTTAACAATGGAAGTGAGTTGAGTAGAATTGGTAAAAAGGGGTAAATTGCGCTATTTATAAAGGTTACCCGGTCTCATGTGATTCATATGATTAGTAGTGCGTAGATTGGAGAAGTACTCTGAGGGTAGAAGAGGAGGCGGATTGAGGGTCAGGGCTGTGTTTGATTCCTATTTTGGATCCTTATTTGACTTCCTCCAAAGTCTGAACGGTTTTTGAAATGATCGCGCTCAGTTCACTCAGATACGTTCACTTTATGTCAAAGGATGATATTTAGAGCGCCCTAAAGGTACAGTATGAGTTCCGGAAGTGGAGTGCTAGTGCAAAATTAGTTGACTGCATACGTACACCGGCATGACTGTCACGAATTGCACTTCGGTAACTTTCGCAAAAAATCAACGATCTCTAAAGCTAACTCGAACAGTGTCACAGTCCATCATTTGAAAGAAAATCGTTGAAAGAAGTTGTTATTCTGAGCTGTCCTGTTCACTACTTGCCCACTCAAAACCAAGTGTTTGACTGATTGGCGGTGCTACTCAGCAGCGACTTCTCCTGACGTGATGAAGAAAAAATAAGAAAAAATTGATACCGAAAACGGCAAACGAATTGTTCAGAAGTGAGCGCGAACGGGATAAAATTAGAAAAGCGTTCAGCCAGAAGCGGTTCAGATCTGCCGCAAAAGTATTGCCCTTGTTAGAATTACATGGCTCTAAATCACAGCACCCTTGGCGAACGCGAACGTTGACCGAACCTAATTTGATTATCCAGGAAGCGTTGTGAATCTCAACATTCAAGGCGAGTCAGCCCGGGTGAAGTGGGGGTGAGCGAACAGGGCAATGATAATCCTTCAAAGTACATGTGGTCGGCCTGAAATAAATTCAGAAGCTCAACCCAGATGTCTAGCTAAGGGCGTCGAATTGGCGACTCCGCTATGGTTCTGAACTTTTTGTTACGGGACTGCATCTTCGCCTCCATATGCACTTGTCTTTACTTACTATTCACCAACTACTGGAGAAAGTATCAGATCAAGGAGGTACCATTGTTTTGAAATCAGCTAGACTTCAATAGTGCAGCATAATTTATTTTTGTAAACAAAGGCTTGAACTTACAGCCGTGGAGGTCGTCTAGTTGTTAATGAAATGATTAGGCTCCAGAAAAGTTCGCTTACTGAGGCCCAGAGGGTTTCAGTGGAATAGTCGACACTTAAAGCTCCCTGATGTCTTACAGTAATCCTCAGCAGAAAACGCTATCAAGCTGTTATTGTACTGCAAATCGAACAGCAGCCATGAAACAGGCACTTGCAATGACAAGAAAAAAAATCGCGAACTCGATCGATTGCAGTCGCTGCGACTGCCGCAGACAAATCCAGCAAGAGAGCGTCGACAGCTAATTACGGTACTTCGAGATGGCGCTGGCAATGGCGCCGAAAGGCAGCGGTAGCTCCCGACACATCGCTCAACTTCCTCTCTTTGCTTTCGATCTCCTTTCCGGAGAAACACTTTCCCTTCTTATGGGTCGCACGAGCAGACAACGGCGTCTATGTGAGGGGGAGGGGATCGGCGAGTTGCGCATGAAGGTGAAACCGCCGTCATAGATGGCGCGGTGTCGACCACGCCTCCAAGTCTTCCTATTTAAGCAGTGTAGTTGTGTAGCCAGAATAAGCCCAAAGCAGCGTCTAACAGTTCAGCTGTTCGGTACAGCATTTACCATTGCTGAACCTACTTCCTTATTACCGCAAACTTTGCATTCGTTTCTTTACTTTTCGGTTGCATAGCACACTTCTACTTATCCCCACCTTCTTTGGCCCATTCATTGACAGTTACTTTCTCTAGCTTTGCACTTGAGGAAAACCTTCACCTCCATAGGTGCCCCTCCAGAGGTTCGATAAATGGGTCTCAAATCGGAGAAGCGGGTGCTTCGGCAGGGTCTCAGAGCCGTATTCTTCGAATTCGAGGAGAGAACTCCTGACTAGTTCCGCGACGCCACTCCTTGTTTCCACAAGGGTTTCCATGATGCGCTTTTTCATAACGTGTGTTCATTTTGCTGTCTGGCTGGGTGAGTGCGTCCTTTAGGAGGAACTGTTAAAAACCAGAAACGAAGACTGGCCTAATTTAGGCTCAAAGTCGCTTTTTGTGAACGGCGGCACAGGCACAATCGCGGTTTCACCGCGAAGGTTTTCACATTGTCAGACGAGTTATTTAACCATTATTATTGGCTGTACATTTGCGTTTCTTGCCGTTTGAACTGATATTTAAGCGACCTACTTTCCAGCACGATCGAGCTCGTTCTGCGGTCTTTTTCGTTTGCAAAAAGAAAACGCGCGGTGCACGGTATTCGTGCAGAAATCGTTGCTGTTCGCAGAGGTTTCTCCATCCCACGGCTGTCGTTTTGTACTTTTCTGGCCAATCTGATGCGCATCTGCTTGTCACCATCACCGTAAATGTCATCGTAGAATAGGAAACCAGTCCAGAAATTGCGCTCGTACCTTTTGCGTCGCGAATATGCCTCATTCTCGAGTTCTACTTGCCCAAAATGTTTCCCGTATAGAAAGTTTCCATCTGTCTCCTGTCCGTGATTAGCTTCTACCATTTGGTGGTATGGTAAATTATGCTTACAAACTGAGCTAAGAATTCCTGACATTTTCTCAGAGATCTTCTTTATGAACTTCTTTTGACACAATAATATCGCGCTTTCTCATCGCTTTTCTTTAAAGTTCATGAAACAAATGTTCCCTATTCGTTTTCAGATGACGTCCGATGACCCGAAGGTAGTGGCCTATGAGGTCGAGTCTCTCCGTAAATTGGCATTCTTCGGTAAGTTCATAGTGGGTTCAGTTGCGCCCTTTGTTGTTGCGAACCCCTATACGTTCCAATCTTCAGGAATCGCCATCTCAACCGTTGCCACATTGACTGCTATCATCGCGGTCCCCATGCTCTACAACTACATGCAACATGTTCAGTCGTCCCTTCAAACCGAGGTATGTCTCACCTTCTCACCTTGAAAGTGCACCCACCTAAACTTTCATATTAAGGTTGACTTCTGCCGACACCGCACTGATGGGCTCTGGGACGAGTATGGCCGAGTAAGTTTTGTTCATGTTTCATTTCTATTATGGAATTTGAGCGCTCCGAAAATCTCATGACGACCGAACCCCCTCTCAACAAACATAAGCATCGCTCTCAAGAGCTCTTAACGTTTGACGCCGCATTTGTCCTTAATGTTTCCGGTTCTGAGGAGAATAAATAGTAGTGCCTCTTTGTGTTATAAAGCCGCGCTATATTTCTCAACCTATGATGGAAGACCAGTTCGCGAAAGCGATTGCGTTCGTGTGAGGGAGGAGGCTCTCATTCAAAGACAACAGGTTCATTACGCCAACAAATCCTTTTTGTTTTCAGTTCGAGCACCTCAAAGGAGTGAACGGCCGTATCAAGAGGGCATCCGTTCAGCGCAGAAGCAACGGCGTCACCGGACGTGGAGCACATCGTCGTGCTGTTGTCCACGGTGCTTCCAACTATGATGGTGGATATGGAGGAGGAGGAGGTGGTAGCTTCGGTGGATACGACTCAGCTGTTAGCGGTGGTGGAGCACAGACATGCTGCTCTTGCGGAGTTGGAGCCGCTGGACCACCAGGAGCACCTGGACCCGATGGAAACCCTGGCCAAGATGGAGCCCCTGGAATGGACGGAGCACCCGGAAACGATGCTGCTGCTGATGCTGTCCCATCACCTGGCGACTTCTGCTTCGACTGCCCACCTGCACCTGCCGGACCACCTGGTCGACCAGGACCCCCTGGACCACCCGGAAACCCAGGAGCACCCGGACAAGACGGAAGCGCTGCTGTTCCCGGCCCACCAGGACCTCCAGGACCAATGGGACCCCCTGGAAACGACGGCCAACCTGGAGCACCTGGACAACCTGGAGCACCCGGACAAGTCACCGAAGTTCCCGGCATTCCTGGACCTGCTGGACCACCTGGACCAATGGGACCACCCGGACCACCTGGACAGCCTGGAACCCCAGGCAGTGCATTGCCTGGACCTCCAGGACCTCCAGGAGACGCAGGAATGGATGGAGCACCAGGACAGCCAGGTGCGCCCGGACAACCAGGATCACCCGGAGCAGCTGGTTCTGGAGGCAGTTGCGACCATTGCCCACCACCGCGTACCGCTCCCGGATATTAAGCCGCGATGTGACATGCTCATTACTGCCATCATTGGTCTGGCTGCTAGTCGGACAATGCATAGTTTTAAATAGCGGGCAAACACTAACTGTAAAACGTCGTTCGATTAGATTTTGGGTAGTTTGGCAGTATTAGATCCTGCGTCGTTGTCGTTGTCGGGATCGATCTCTTTGGTAATTCCGAACCTGATCAGAGAATTGCATTCACTTTTTTCAATGGAACATCACACCTCTTTCGCTGTTATAGAAAGCAACTACCATAAGTCAACTGCTGCCTGTAAAATGTTTCAGAAGTGATTCTATGCAAATAAATTTTTCATTGCATTTCATTCCATTGTTTACCTCACATAAGCAAACCTTAGTGAAGGAAAGGCTCCAGTGATGTGTGCGAATCTGCCACGAAATCAGTGCAAAACTGCGAGTGCAAGCTTCCGCTAATAGCCACCTGTACCAAAAAAGGAACAGCACAGTTTGCTGTCACTCTTGACATTTCCTGCTCATACATGGTTCAGTGGCCATTACTCTACTCTAATTAATTTACAGTGCCGCTCCCAAATTTAGGCCATTAAGTATCGCGCCGACCTTTTGAGTTGCTAAAGCCAGCCAGCTGAAGGTCACCGAAACTCCTCATGTATTACACAAGTGTAAGAACGCCATGTTGATGAGGTCAGATCGCTTTAGTTTAAGCGTTTAAGAAGTTCTTTATTCGTGAAAGACTTGCTAAGGAAAACTTTTTCGCCATCTAGTCACACTATGGGAGTGCCCTTCAACGTACACGTTCCGTTCCGTTCCACTTACGGACTTGATAGTAAACTGAAAAAGTAAGAGATAGCCCGTCTCGCAGTTTCTGACTACCCCAATGTTGAAAAAGCTTCTGCCGTCACAAAAGACACTGACAATGCCAGCGAGCTTTTCAATTAGAACAATGGAAATCGCTGCGAATCAAAAAAAAGTTGCCGCACCAGCCCAGTTCCACTACCAGTTTGTACGAGCGTTTTTCATAGGCAGGAAATTCATGGATTCCAATTAAACGACGCCCTCCAAAGGTGATTGAAGGGAGATACGGCTTCATCGGTTGTTTAAAGGACACCGGCAAAGGAATGCCAACAAAAATACGAATTAAAGCGATGAACCTGCTATAATGCTAGTGCTGGAAATTAATCACCATTTGCTGCCTTTCAAGTGCGACATTATTCAACAAAATTTGTGTATTAGCATTTAAGCAAGCACTTCTTCAACCGGAAACGTAGTTGATACCATCTCCCTTCAACAGTGCTCCTCAAACAGGGCAAGTGATGGTGAGCCATACCATTATAACTCTCAGCGAACCGTGGCACTCTCCCATGGAGGCAGGGTCAACCGTGCGTTGGACAAAGTCCAACGATAGGTGGGGGGAGGGTCGTATTTGGGGTGGAAAAGGGGGGGTCGTATTTCGCGAGGTAGCGTTAATGTTACAGTAAGGGAAGTGATGATGCAGTCGACGGCAATTTTGGAGGGAAAAAGTGGGCGGAGTTTGGGCTGTGTCGACTGGTCTCAGAATCGAATACTATAGAATGAGCCCCATGATGGCGATGGCAGGCGAGGGTGGTGAAGGGTTGACCCTGAGGGGGGGGGTCGTATCGAGGCCCTCTAGAAGGGGGAGGGGGTCGTAAAATTTTCGAAATCGGTCCAACGTGACGGTTGACCCTGTATGGAGATGCAGCCCCAGTCCTATCAATCGGGACGAAATATTATTCAAAAAAGTCAGCGCGAACGTCGTCAAAACACTATAAACGTCTTGATTTCTACAGTATAGTTCCAGCTAGACAGAGGCTTGTCAATTCTATTCATCCATTGCTTGATGGGCATGCGAATGGTTTGGTGGGGAAAGAAAAGAAAACTACAAGGCTATGTGATAAATAACAACTTAATTTTGCGACTCCTTTTGAGCCACATGAATGTCTAGTCGGGAAAAAAAGGGTTCAGAAACCGCTACAATAAGTAAGGATACCATCACTGGGTGTAAAAGAGGTAAGTTTGTTATTGAATTCACTAAAAAAGCAATTAGATAGAATAGCACTACTTTGTGAAAAAAATGTTAATCGGCTACGAATTGAATTGCAAAACGAATCGGCGCTATAAAATGTTTATTGCCCCGCTCCTCCGAAGCTGACAGGCAGAATTTGTGAATGGGATATGATTTGATTAAGCGAGATTTGTATGATTTCATTGAAATTTTTCCATGACTAAGCATTTGGCTGAAAACTTGATGTCAGGGGTATTTTGACCCATAGAACATGCATATTACATTAGTTGCGGCGTCAAGCGTTTTCGCGTTGAACGATATGTGATATTCGCGTTCTATGGATCAAAATACCCTGGAGTCAACTTGTTAGCCAAATGGTCAGTCATGAAAAAATTTCGATAAAATTCCAGCTGTGAAGGGCGCAAAAGCGATAAATAGTACCAACAAAACTGCTTCAAAACTTACTAACGTTCCATCAGAGCTATCATTGACATATTATCAAGAATACATATGTGAAACAGTGCACTGGCTTATTAAGTTGAAGTTTTTCGATAAAACCGTTTGTTGGCGAAACTGATATGGGTTGATTGAAATTTTCAAACAGTCTTAAGAGGTCTTCGTATAGCATACAAATTCTTGAAGCTATCGTACCCGCCCTGAAAATTCAGAAAATCACGTAATCGAATGCACATTTTTTTATGTCGGCCCAGGGTGGAGCGTTCATTCTGCGAGGCGAAAACAGCGTTGAACTTATCTTGTCAAACTTTACAAGATAGTGCTTCAAAGTTTTACAAATTTTTATCCCGGAATGCTCCGTGTACTCGGGTTCTACCTATAGAACTAACTGAATGTTTACGCGCACATATCACATCACCAACCTAATCTAGATATGTAATCTGATCATTTAGCAAGAAAAGTGCACAAATACAACACTGAGGTCATCTACAGAGCTAATAGGTCGGATTTTCTGAAGCTTTCTAAGATTTGAAGGATTTACGGATGTCTGCTACGGAAAACCGAGGGCGAGAGCAGCGATAAACGCTTCACCTTCTCAGCAGTCAACTGTGTGCAAGAATTTTACGGCATAGCTGATCTACATGAGCGTTTCTTCCATGTTTTTGCCTTGGAGCCCCAAGTTTATGAAGATAAAATCAGGTTTTTTGCTTTCGACGTAGCTACGAACTTGAGGTGTATGATTTCCGATACTCCATGGAAAATTCTGTCTAGTAGTATGCAGCACTTTTCGTAATAGAAACTGCTTTTCCATCGTTTTCTACTCCCTGCTAGCTGTCACTTGATCTCCCTAGCTCTTGATGCCCTCGTGCGATTCACGTATGCAGCAGGTAGGGCCAGGGTCGAGCGTCCCTCACTCCAACTAAGGGGACCGTATTTGCCTCCCTCCCCCCCCCTTGTTGGGCTTAGACCAGGAGGGTGGTATGAGTAGAGGTCAACGTTGTCGTGGAGATCTTTAATTGTAGTGTAGAGGATGATTAATGCGATCATGGACCTAAATGCGTGAAGAAACGTCGCCGGCCGACAGGGCAAGGGACAAGTGATATGTTAGACGATTTTAGCAATTAAAGCTCGCAGCTTTGAGCTGGGCGTGCTTCCTTAGTTCATTAGAATCGAAAACGTTTGCTGTCGCGACAGTAAGTGAGATGTAAAGCTCTCATATCCTCAAATAACTCTCAACCACAGGGTGCATGGCGCATTTCAGAGCTGAAGGAAGCGGTTACGGTAAGCCGGTACATATTTGATTATCAAAGGCACAAATATTGCTCTACAGAGATTCGGTGTTTCGGACTCAGAAGTCTTTTGTGGGATCCTTTTCCAGATGTAATTTTTTTCTAATCAATCAAATCTGTTCAAATTTTGATATCTAGTGTAGGCTAGCCATGTTCAGAAATGTCTTGTTAGTATTAAGTGGGAGGAAAGGTTAGGAATGAAATCATTCTACCAGAAGTTCTCCAGGATGACCACATTGGAGCAAATTTCAAATTATTGTAAAAGGATTACAGTTCAGCAACTCAATGGACCGCATAATAGAGAACATTAAGCAGGTTCATATTTTAGAGATATTGAAAGCTAAACAGAGCATAAGTATGGAATCAATTAATGAAGCACTGGCTATCAGGGGAAAGCCTTCTACCTTTTTGGAAAAGCTGACGAGTTTCTTCTCCATTTCCCTAGTTATGTTTCTGCAAAGGAAACGTTCTTTTTTCATTTCGACATCCTTTCGTATAGTATCTCGATGAAGCTCAGGGTATACAACTGAAGTCCCCCCCCCGTGAAAAGCATGACATGCTGTCTAAAGCATTCTTGCGTTGATAAGGTGCGATGCTTTAGATCGCTGTGTTGCCAGAGGACGAAGTCATTTTGGTGCAGAAGCCAGACCTATGGATACATAGCACCTTCAAATCCTGCGCCTTCACCAGTTCATGAATCCTTTGAAGTCGCCGCCTACTAGTGATAGAAGATGGAATGGGTTCCACATCCAAACTGGAAATCACACAGAGCCCTACTGTCATATGGAGCGACGAGAGTAAATTTAGGACTTTTGCCAGTAGCGGCAGTAGAGGCGCGTGTGGGTTCAACGAAATCTCCAATGTAAGGGAGTAGTTTCGACAGCATTTGGTGCTTTTAATGAATGAACTAATACAGGCGAATGCCTCAAGAGTCATAAAAATACTATGGCCATAAAACAGAGAAAAAGTAAAAAAAAAGGGTAGAAAAACCTGTGGGCAGAAAAAAGGAGCAGGAATGTAAACGAAAAGTCGTAAAATCTGAAGAAAAATTGAGGAGGATATCCCAACGGACAGTAAAATCATTGACTGATTGCACACCTAGGTCCTGTTGAGGTTTCAGCGACTCCGAAAGGTTACCAACAAGGCATGACA